TGCTTGGCTTGGGGAAACAGCAGTTGCGCGATACAGCCTGTAATGACTGTCTCTTCCACGTGAGTGTATGTACTTGCATAATGATAGTACTGCCTTCTTTTTAGTTTGTGTCATTTGGTTTTTGTTTCTTTTTCGCCAAGAGAGTGAATCGATTTGCTCAAACTATTGCCTCTTAAATAACTATACTATTATATTTTATTATAAAACCATGCTTAATTTTCACTCAATTCCTCAGCGTACACGTTTGAATTCGTTTTTGTTATTAGAAAAAAATCAACTTATTTCCAGTTAAAAGTATTTTCTTGATACAATCTGCTTTTATTTCAAACGCGCTAAAATAAAAAGTTTAGTGGCTCAGATCTTCACCCACATAAAGTGTAGTCTCTTAAGCACACGACCACTTCACCCTGGTAATTATTCTAAAGGTTGAAATGCATGAGAAACTAGCTGCTTGAACTCAAAATAATTTGCTCATAAAAATGAACCAAGTACAGTTCAAAGTTGAACGTGTTTGTAGGTTTACTTGTGAGATATACTTCTCGGACTAGTCGAGAGTAAATTCATGAAAATAGCTCTAAAATTTCGGTTACTTCGAGTGGCATATGGGTGTCAAAGTTGGCAGTACTGGAAGTGTAGCAGTATGAAAATATCATAAATGAACTTTTTCCTACATTATTACAACTTTTTAACTAGCAGATGTAGTAAATTTCCCACTAGCATGTATTAATTTATGTTGTATGACGAGAAATGTATCGATAATGAAACAAGAGTAGAGATTCATCATTCATAATTTAATTTATATTTTATAGTACAGTAGTATATTTGCAGTGTCACTGAGAATGACATGAGTAACGTTTTCTGTTCTTGCTGACTATCTCGCATTTATTCATATTATGGTTTGTACGCAAATACCCGTATGGTGATTTTCAAATCCGACCGAAAATACTCCTGTATTATAGCTGTAAATTATCTTTTTGCTCTGTTATCTTATTCAATCATGAAATACTTCAATAACCTTCTAAAACAGATTGTTCGTTTTTCAGAATAGTTATTTTCCATATTTTCCGTCTTCATTTATTCATCAACTATATATGCGTTGCAAGTATCTATCATTCCTCGAAACAAATCGTCTTAGAATGAAGATGATACGAGCAGTTAACAAAGTTGGTTAAAATTTTGCGTCCCCTCTCAACAAGTTAATGAAAGGCAAATATTATTCTTGGATAATATCCACTAAAACCTGTATGTTTTCTACCGTCCACATATCTACTCTGAGTAAACATATTTCGCCAAATTAATAACTCACACCTAAAACTACAAATGTACCAAAAGAAAGTAGAAAAGGGAGAAAAAAATCACCATTCCATGAAAAAGTTCATCTGGCTCGCCGCGTTTTCCTTCCTAAAAATTACATCGCTCTCTTTGTCTCTTTTGGCGCATTTGCATACTTCCGACAACGGTAAAATGCGCGTCTTTCGTCTCTGCCATAAAACCCACAAAAAAAGTAATAAAAAATGGTGCCATTCTGTCTATTCTTTTATTTCTTTTTACAGTTCTCGTACTGCACAAATAAAGTCTGCAATAGTAGCAGTAACTAAAAAAATAGTAATAGTGGTGGCTCTATTTAGTACAAATAATTGTGTACATGATTGTAGCTGGTGTAATTGGACTGTCTGCGCCATGCGTACCACTTGTCTTCGACCCAAGTCCTCTTCGCTCGAAAACTCGACCACATTACTGAGCTGAGTTGTTAGGTACGGGCCTCGCATAAATTGTTTCACTTGCGGTCATTATTCATTTCACATGATTTTACGTATTTCTGTATTTACTTTTCAGTAACAATTGAATTGTCGATATTTTAAATTTATTTATTTATTGATTTGATCAATACCCATGTGTACCTGTCACCTAGAAAAACATTTATCAGTTTCAGGAACTTGTAGTTTATTCATGCATTGATTTTATTTACACTAACCTATTACTGTATAACTTGCAAGTACTATGAGAAAATGTATCACACGACAGGTTTTTTATTTGCCATAATCGTTGGGAATTTTGTCTGTTTGGACGAATAGTTAAGTATTGTATCGTTGAAAGTACACGGAAGCATGTTTTAGAGCTTTATGAAAGATAAAAACTTGTTGGAAAATACTCGCGACTGCGACTGTCTTTGCAAGGAATTGATAGCTGGTGTACAGTAAATTTAATTAAAATGGGTTGTGGCCTGTACTTAATTGAAAATGCGACTTTCGTAAAACTTTTCATTTTATCACCCCCATAAAGCGAAACAATAATTAAGCTAAAGTAGAAGAAACTTTTTTAAAAAGAAGATCGAGATATCATTTTATTATACGAATTATTAGCATTTAACTTGAGATTATTTGAAAAAATCAAAAACACATCGTGATCTTTTTTACGAACTATTGAAGGAACCATTTAAAGTCTTTTGAAATGAAAAACCAGAAAAACAGACACTTTCAAATAATCGCAATGCCATTATGAAAAAAGTAGTAAGATAGTCGATTCTCGATGAATATACAAGTTGTATGTACATAAGATCCCGAGGCTTAGCGGCCATTGCCATTGGACTGGACAATGGGAGGAAGGGAGACAGGAATGGACTGATGGTTGGCTATAGATGGATATTGAGAATTAGAAGCAGGGAAAAGTAAAAGAAGAATAACGCGAAACCGCGGGAAGTTTGAATCGTTTGGCCGTCGTCGGTCGTGCAAGTATAGTCGATTAATTATGCAAAAGCCGCGAGCAGCGATCGATGCACGAACGACGACCGTAGGTAGCGGACACCCATTGTGAAATATTGATATCGACTGGCTATAGCACTTCCCTTGTGAATACTCGCTTCTTCTTTTTACCTCGATTTAGCATTTTTTCCCGAAATATAATTTATACGTGGTACTCTCTACACGTGTTTATAATGATCCAATGCTATTATATCCCTTCAAAACGATGCTCGTTTACACTGCTGCTTTTGGCTCGCTTATAGAGATTTTCCAAGGTTTCTTGGGATATTTTCATAAAAAATTTTCATTAGCAAGTTAACCAGACGATCGCAAAACAAGTTCTCTCAAATTAAATTTGAACCGAACAAACTAACTAATCATCTAATAATGCTAAATTACATGACCGAACGATCTCGCTAATTATTTGAACTTTTTGCGTGCTCTAAATTTTCTCCTAATCTGCGATGAGCTTAACGAGAGTCACATTAAGTATCGAGACATTTATTGAGCAGTAATATGCCCACTTATAAGCTTGGTAAAACTTGCGTCATCGTGTCATGTACAGTTGTCGCACACACACGCACCTCGCAGGCGTCTTGGGTGTTGCAACAAAGCGCGTTGTGCAAATCTTCGTGGGCGAATTTTTACCGCGAATCAAATTCTCCTTTAGATCATCGAATCAGGTGGTAGTGAATGACTTGTATCCTTACATTTGATAAACCCATGCATACATTTTTTTAAATACTTATGCTCGAAGTCGTGAATGCCCAAAGCTTTTCAGTAACCTTAAGTTATTGTGCTACTAAAACTGTTACTGCTGTTGTTAGCATTTAATTTCCGCAGAAATTTTTCATTTCTCTTCATTTCACTTTTTTATTATCAAAGTGAGAGTAGTCGATCGAAGAACTTTTGTGTTTACTTCATTATTGTGTGAATATTTAATCAAGTTTATTTGTAATGAGATGGCTCATTATCTTCGACGGCAATTAAATATGCACCTTTAGTAGTAAATTGTTTGCGTTAAAAATGACGGAGTCTATGCTGAATACAGTGTATAATGCTTATTTTTAGCTGTGAGCTAATATTATCTTTGTTTATAAATTTTTTTAAGTATATGTCTTTTCGTTAAAATACACAAAGATGTATTTTTAATATTACCATTTTATGCAAGCGTTCTTCGTACTCGGCAATAAATAAAAATTTGATGAATCGACTATGAAATTTCTGATGAAATAAAACCCATTTATACGCAGCATCACAAAGGTGCACTTTCAAACCCCCCAAATTTTCAAAGACTATATAAAAAAAGAAGCTATCGTCTGAAGCTTCTTCCCCCTCCTAGTGAAGTCTTTACCCGAACCGGTAAACTTTAGTACTCGGTGTATGTGAGTCTCTCTCTCTCTCTCACTCTGGACTATGGCTATATATCGACCTGAGGGTTACAAGTTTCTTGGATTGTTGATACCAGTGGTAACCCAGGGTAACGACACAGGCAACGACCAATTGACTCAGGGCACGGGCTCTACCGGCTCGACGTTGATTGGACAGTGCGAAAAATAAAGAGACCTGCACGAGCTCTAGTGCACTGCACTAACTCGTGCGATCTGTTCGCGAACACGTCGATCATCATGTTGTGTCCTCGGCAAAAGCGAAGACTAGACATAGTGTGTAGAAGACTCGTATCGCAGTTGCAACATGTACGCCGGCGCCTGTTACACCGTACAAAAGACTTTTCCAAAAGGATAGACTACGCGTCATTCGCGTAAATTAGAGCTGATTTTCTTGAACTGTTGTGCACCTGTGCTTATGGTAATTGGATGTTTGTTTCTCTATTTGTGAATGAAGGTCGTTTGTTTTATTCTGCCTGCGGGTGTTAAATTGAATTCGTGCTCACCTCTGCGTGACGCGGTTTTACATCTCATGGCATTTAACCCTAAGTTTTCGAAAGGTTAATCTTGCAAGCAGATAACTCCATTGTTGGAAACCGAATTCCTCTGTCGATTTAAAACCCAGGACAGGTGCTCTATACTGTTTTATTTTCGTTTTGATATATTGTTTTAGTACTTTCATTATCTTGTCGTTCAATTGCAATTAATGAATGTTTTAATCATTCGATATAAAAATTAGGACATTGGAATGTCAAATTTCGATGGTTTTTTTTTAATGAAGCATAAAACAAATTATAAAATATAACCAATTTTAATAAAAGCTTCTCTTCATTCAAGATTATAATAAACAATGAATTGCTTTTTGTTATAGGAGGTCTAAAACTTTGAAGTCAAGGACATTAGTTGGTAAGTCTTTAAAATTATATTTTGTTTTAACACTTTGAAAAACGGGTAATCAGTCAAGTTTCTGGAATTGTTAATTTAATTGTGATTTGAACTAATATATTAAAAATATATATATATTTTTTTTTACTAAAATACTTTATGAATACATAAATATGTAAAGATACCTAATAAAATACGGAGTGCACAACTTCCCCAAAAGTGTTTGGGAACTACTTATTTTTTAAAATTCATGGACCTTTACCATTTTTTCTTAAAAATGGGCTTCAGGTTCTAATATATCAAAATAAAAAGTACGGGTACTTTTTGCGGTAAGAAATTCCCAAAAATTGAGACAAGATCTGGGTTCCAGATCTCCTGTGGTTTCTTTATCAGTATAAGTATTTTAATGTCACAATCCGTACATTATTCTAATTGACTAGTGAAAAGCGGTTTAGTTCATTTGCAATTAAATAATTTACAATGACACACTTTTGAAAACTAATGAGTTTATTAAAAGTTCATCATTTTTACAATTAGTTGCGTCAATCTGTTTGTAATATTACTGAATGGTCATTTATTAACAAACTAGTAAGAACATGTCGTAGATAGGGCATGTCACTCATCTACTCGAAATGAAACACCCGACAAATTTCAAAGTTCAATTTGGCTTTTTGCCAATCGTCACATCTTTACGGTTTATATTTGTATAAAAACAAACATGAAAATGTATGTAAACAATATTTTCGTCTAGAACTATGAAAAGACAAGATTAGTACTCATCGATAGCGAAGCGACTTCTTCGCTTTTTCATTTATTCATCTTAATAGAAATCTTTGAATTCAACAAATTAATTTAACCAAGATTTAATTTTGAAGATGTGCAGTAGTCAATATCGATTAGTAAGCCATTGATAAACATAATCATGTAATTACCCCGTTCAGTATTCAATAATCTTAATGCTCGGCACAATATACCACTTTCTTGCAACTAATGCACGCCTTGCAATATCCTGCCTCGTTTTTCACCTCATTTGTGCTTTCCGGTCACGCAGAAGCCACGGATATTATATGTACTATCGTACCAATAAATAATATTGGCCTGAGGTGTAGAGTAAAATAATATCTGTACTCAGTATTTTTAGCACGAGTTGTAAACAAAATTTTGATTTCCTTTCGAAACTTTCTCGTTTTCAAGAAAGTAAAATATCATCTTTACAGAGGGTATTTATAATTATAATATACTTATCTCGATTTCACGAGTCGTTATGAATGACGATATGAGCCAGGATGTCTATCAACTAAATTGGTGTCGCTGTTTTGGTAAATCATAACCGAATTTACAAAAACTATTTGTGGACCAATGGTAAAATATTTGTCTCATTGATGTATTTAACAGTTACGTTATCAATTGTCAATGTGTACTCAATTTTATACAACTGCCGACAAGAAATATAAAATATCGGGTACAGATTATGAAAAATTTTTCAATCGATAAAAAAACTACTCTTGAACTTATCTAGAGACATTTGATCAAATGTATCTTATCCCGATTGAAACGTCCTCATGCATATGAAAGATTTCCATGTCGTCGAAAGTCAAACTATAATCGAGCAGCAAGAGGTAATTTTGTTGAGTGTAAATAAGCCCAAAGCATTAGTCCGCGTTACAACTACGTGCATATATGCGTGTCGATGTAGTGCAGTGGCACCTATTGTGTACTAGCATTTGAAGGAGATTAGCAAACGTGGCCGCAACAACGGCTAAATCGCGTGCCACCGCTCATTGTGTAGCCGATGCGTCTCTCTCTCTCTCTCTCTCTCTCTCTCGCACATTGCGATGACGATATGCCCGCTCACACTCGGCCACGCGTTTGTTTCAAGGGATGCTCACTGGGCGATTGCTCTATATCGCGCTCAAGTGGCTGTGTAACGATTCGTTACCGCAAGCCAGCAGCTCCCCCCTGCAGTCAGAGAGGAAATGTAAAATGTTTTCATGATTGTCTTTACACAGCTTGTTATTGTTCGATTTTTTACGCAACTCTTGATTGAAAACCAGGTTTTTCATTTTGTTACTTCGTCGAAGTAGTTTTGCTTTTATTCAATATTCTCCATCCTTGCTGGAGTTATTAATATATTTGAGGATTTTGCCTCGAAAGAAACGCAATCATCGCAAAAGAAAATATCTGAGTGAAGTACCCATTGTGGCCATACTCGTAGAAAAAATATCCATGCGTTTTTTTTCGTTTCAATTATTTACGTTTGAAATAAAATTCTATTTTATCTTCAATATGTTTCACGAAAACTATTTTTTCTCGAGAAAAAATATGCCGAGTTTTAAATATATTTTTCCTGGACGTCTAAAAATTTTCTCCTCACGGAGCATGAAGTTTCACTCGATACCATCTAACATTCAAATTATTCTCGTACAAATTTTCTTCAAACGTTCCGTAAAATAACCAGAAAACTGAAAAGATAAACCACCAAGCCGATAAATTACCCGCAAAACTGTGAAAATTACTGAGTAAGATAAGGATTTCGAATGCTGTCAGTTTCAAGTTAATTTTTTTACTTTTGACGTGTTGCATACTTCAAGCTGAAAATGTTTAATCTTTATTAATAAGTCATACAGCCTAAACAAGCCAGACCTCAACCCAGGTACGTCATTTTTTAAAAAGCAAACATAGGAGATATTAACTAAATTTGTACAAGCTCATTTTTCTATGTACTCTTGAGTTTCCTCTTAAATTAAAATGTACGGTATGTTCAAAATATATATTTTAGTATTTGATAATTTTATGTAATTTGTCACCACGATGAAGTCGGGTACCGTAAGGTGTTAATTTTTCTCCCTCCGTAAGCGGTGACTTTCTAAAGACGAAGTTTGTCATTTAAGGGTAAAGTCAAAATAAAACCAGTGAATAAATCACAGTGTGAAAATTCGCCAAACAAAACACTAACTTTAATCCTGGAGTAAAGATTCTTGCAGCAAGAGTTCATAAACTCGAGTTATATAGTACGATAGCCTACAGGCCAAAGCTCGGGCTAATGGCTAAGTCGATCTGCTGTCGCCGTCGAGGCTTGTGCTCTGCATGACTGCTGCCGCTTCTCGAATGTATACATACTGCTTTGCACGAGAAAGAGAGTGAGAGAGAGAGAGAGAAAGGCTCTTTTACTCTATGAGAAAACGATCGTATATGCGAATGGATGTTTCCCGCAATGGCTTTACCCACGAAGTTACCGAAGCATCTTACTCTCTTCTTCACTTCTTTTTGCGATGTGCATTTTGTTGTTGCCAAGCATACAAATCGGGAGCTTTTATCTCAATCGATAAAAATGATATGATTTTGTGTTTCAAATATTCCAAGCTCCCTCTATGTAGTCCTAGAAAACTTTGTTTATTCATTTTAGTAAAATTAGACTTGCTTTAAGAATTTAATATTCTTAGTTTTTAACTAGAATTTCCATTCGAAATCATCCGAGTTGTCTGTTTTCCTAAAAAATGTGTGAAAAGTTTGTGCAAAAGCATCAAACGCAAAATTATTTGGTCACTAGCCGCAAAATTCCAGCGCGTTTGCGCGTGATCTGGATAATTTATTTCGCCAATGGAGAGCTTGTGAAGAAGCGCCGTCGAGACAGAAAATACTCGCAGTGGCGAGACTTAAAAGTGCACATTTGCGCGAAATATCTTCTGTTATATAAAAAGAGTATATAGTTTGCCATGAGATGAGAAGGTTGCACGTCATGGGTGCGCAGGCGCGAACCCCTTGCAAAAGTATATGGAGCCCCCGAACGGCGCAACGACCAGCAGCAGCGTCAAAGGGGGTGACTTTCGCAAAGCGCACTCAGTATTCACCCGCCCATCGGACTGATCGATATATATATAGATTACACACTCGCAAGTTCAGCACCGAAGATAAAGAGAGAGAGAGAGAGAGACAGAGAAAGAGACCGCGAATAGAACAGTGTGTGTGTATCGTCGCGTATGAACATATTGCTGAAGAAAATGAAAAATCCGCTTGTTCACAAAGTTCAATTTTCAATTTAATTATGTGCATTGGCCCACCGAACTGCTGATTGAGCTCCATCAAGCCAAGGTTCTCCATATAAGTGAGTTATATTAATCAAAGCTTTACAAGAGTATGTTTTCTGTAACAGACGAAACATCCAATTGAATTAGAGTTGAAAAATTGCTTTAGCATGAGCTTTCGCGATTATCAGAAACGAAACAAATTTCATTGAATGTCTATGGTTTTTCAACCGTTACAATTATCGCAATAGTTTTATCATCGACAAAATGACTGATAATTTCTCCGGTTTTATCAAAGATGACACGTGTTTTGATCGATACTTTTATATGGTCCTTTAACGCGGTTTATGTATGGTTTACTTTACACGAAGTGGATCGATATTAGTTGACTCATCTTTTGGGGGGAGAAACTAAAACAAGGACAGGAAGAAGCTCTTCTTCATAGACTTTCAATGTCTTTGCAAACTAATCACGATAAAAGAGAAAATGTTTTTAGTAATTTGATCATCGCGATTCTTTCATACAAATGACTGTCGTAGATCATCGTCTTAACGTCATGTGTTTGCTATTATTCATTCTTACAGCATAAATGAAGTGAGTTTCATTTAAAATCAATTAACACGATTTAAATCGAAACTTTGCTCAGCGGCACTATCGACTCGTAATAATTAAAATCTTGTATTTACTTCAATGACAAATCTATGCTTTTAAACACAAAAATAGGAAACCACATTGTATTGAATTACAAAAAAATATTTTCGAGCCTGCACGATAACTGCTTTACTTACATAATTGAAGAATCGGCACAAGATAAATACTTCAATAAGTACAACCGAGATGTTTCGAGCAGAAAATAGGAAAATCGAAGCCGTATTTTAATCATCGTGTCTCAGGGGGGTCCATTGCCATAGACCGAGAGGTTCGACGACGATCGTCGGTCTTTCACACTTTTTTCGTTCACAACAACTTCATATCGATCTGGTTTAAGTCTCTCCA